CGATTACATTTTAAGCAAGTTCTCCTATTACACAGACTATATGTATATAGCCTGTCCCAAGCTATTTGGCAGTGATTGGTTCGAAAGGTTTTCTCTCATATTGGATGGTTGCCGGTTTCAGCGTATGTTCCCGGTGAATTGAGGAAATAATTCTTGTCAAATTAGATATAATTGTTATAGCGCGGTTTTCTAGAAGTTTTAGAAACTATCTTTGCGTTTCATTGTTGCTAAATTAAACATTCGTCATTAGTATTGCTTTAAGTAAGTGTAGAAATTTCATTTTTACAAACGGGAGGTTAAATTTGCAGAATGTAATGTAACAATTAATTGGGAAAATAAATCAGTTTCTGCGGATTCAGTATTAATTTGCCTCAATTTTACAGTACTTGGCGATAAATGTGAGCGCTAAAGTGTGTTATTTTTGTGCTCATATACCTGCAATCAAATTATGAAGAAAATAGAAGAAACAAAAATGAGGAACTAAGCGATGGTAGTGTGAACATATGAGCAAAATGAACTGTTGTTTGCCCTTGCAATATTGCTTAAACAATTTCAGTTCCGAAAAATAACACACGCACAAACAGAAAATGTGCCGGTAAATTGAAATCATTATTTGGAAAAAATTCGCAGCAAACTGCCAACACTAGCCAATAAATTAAATCAATAATTTTAATATTCTTCGCGAATCGTAATAATTTGAGCATCAAAGACATACGCTCATAACATCAAATTTTCCCTCCAGCTCAATGGACCAGTAATGGACAAAGAAGGACAGTTATTGCGCCATTGCCTTCGGAAAGACTATACAATATTTTGGAAAATCAATAATAAATTTTCATCAGTGCCTCATAAATTTTTTGTGAAATTTATTTCAAAATTGAGTTGAACATCTGTTGCGGTGGTCAAATAATAACGATCTGGAAGGAAAACTAGGAGAACCGCTGAGAGAGCAAAGCTTTGAGTACCCACGAGATTTTTTTCAGCTGGAGGGCAAAAATTAATTTCTGAATTAATCATTAACTAAATTTGTGAATTATTATATATAAGGCACATTTTTCAGGCCGCAAAATGTAAAGCGCTTCGACTAATAAATTCTTTACTAGTTGATGCCTCTCGAAAACACTTCTATTGATAAACGTAGCTCACCTGATGATAAGCCGAGTAGTATTTGCCACTAGTATTCGCACTTATTGGACTTCCATTTCTACTCCAAGTGAATCGCGCTAATGGAGAAGCTTGACTTCTGCATATCAGTTTTCCTGTGTCACCTGCATCACTTGCAAACTTCAATAGAGTGGGACCCGCATCAATTTCGGGTTTATCTAAAAAAAAAATTATCATCATGATCTTGAATCCACAAGCAGAACTATTAGTAAATCGTACGTTTGACAATCAGCATCACGTTCTTTGTGGTGGCATTTCCAATTCCATTGTTTGCAATGCATTGAAACATTCCAAGATCCTCCCTGGTCACTTGAGTGATTCTCAAATGCGAAGTTCCATTCTTATCATACATTATGGATGTTCGAGCATCGAAGTCAGGAAAATCATCCCTTTTCCATGTTATTGTGTCGTCGGCCATAGGATTTCCATCGGCCGAGCACGATAAAGTAGCATCTTCTTTAGGATTCACAATGACGGTTTCGCTGGTTTGTAGTATGGATGCAGGATCTTGAAAATTATTTAACATTTAATTTTTCCCTGAGAGAATTAGACACTACCTTACTTACATTGAACAGTAATATTCACTGAAGCCATGGAACTTCCCTGTGAATTTAGAGCCTCACAGTTGTAAGCGCCCGCATCATGTCTGGTCAGTCTTGTGATATTCAAAACAGGTCCATCGGAGACTATTCTTTCTGCTCCATTTGCTGATGATGACTGGGTGATGGGAAGACCATCTCTCGTCCATGTATAAGCCAAACTTTCTGGATTTCCATCCGCTTTCAGGGTGATAATTAGAGGTTCATTCTCTATTCCAGTGACAAACTCTTCGTTGCTTTTATCGAAAACAGGTTTGTCTAGAATCAAGAAACCGCATGCAGTTATTTAACTGTGCATAGACGCACTAAGTAAAAGTAGATGATTATTTAGAGTAGGATACAATGCTTACATAAAACTTGCAAACTGATGGAATCATGAGCACTTCGTTGAAGCGCCTCGTTTTGCGCTTGGCACGCGTACTGAATGCCATTCATTTCCTCCGACACATTAACTTTCAGCTCAATTGTTGATACTGTACCGCCATGGAGGCCTTGTTTGGAGTAATTTTGGTATCCTTGTACTGGAATGCCTTCACGCCACCAGGTCAATGTGGCTGGAGGATTGCTCGAGCTGGAATCGCAAATTAATGTTGCTTCCTCGTTCGGTTTCAGTTCGGCTGGCTCTTGACGAATTCGCACAGTTTCCGGTGGATCTGCAATTGGGAAATTATAGCAAAGGCACAGTTTGGTACCGCTTGAGCCCTTACAATAGACACTCATGGTGATGGTTTTAAACATTGGTATTTCAGTGGCTGAGTTGGCAGCTTCGCATCGGTATTGAGCTTCGTTGTCTGTGACGTTGGTGAGAATTGTGATTTCGGCACTCACAATGTCGTTATTTGTTTTAGTGGTTGAATGAATCTAGATTAAAATGTATTAGATAATATTTTTCAGATTCTGGAATTTTTTCAACATTACCTTTTTGTCGTTTTTGTACCACGTTAAAGTAGCCAAAGGGTTTCCGCCTGCGGAAGAACAGGAAATTTTCTTAACTGTTCCTGCAGTTATATGCAGTCCTTCCTCATAGCCTTGAATGAATGGCTGGCTTGGGGGATCTGGAACATAATCATTATTTGATCGTGGTCATTCATCATGCCGATGTTTAACTTACATAAAACATTGATTGTGTGGGTCGATACTACATTTTCAGTGAGTTGAGCGTTGACTCCATGACAAATCACCACCACGCTTCTTTTATCAGTTTTTACGACTGCTGTGATATTTGAACTGGTAATCCAACCACCTTCTGGAGATACCACCGTTCTTGATGTTGCATTTTGAACTGGCCGGCCTTCAATCTGTTAAGGAATTATTTCATATATTAGCAATGTAGAACAAACAATAGTCTGTTCGTGGGATTTACCATCCATCTGATTTCGGCTGGTGGGTTGGAATTTGCAGTGGAGCAGGTCAATGGCACCGGATCTCCTACTCTAGCTTCAGTCGGTCCAGATATTGATACGTGAGCAGGAGCAACTAGATAGGTTTGAGCATGTTTTCATTCTAGAGATTGTTCAGCTTGTTAAAACTTACACAAAACTGTCATATCTAATTCCGCCTTCAATACGTTTTTCGACATGATATTGCTGGCCTCACATTTGTATCGAGCTTTGTTATCACTCGCATCTGCTGTGAAAGTATACACGTTCTCGGATACTCTTCCTGCTGTCCGGTATGCCATTCGAATTTGTTCCCCGTTTTTGTACCAGATTAGTTGCGCTGGCGGATTACCACCACGACTTCTGCATACTAATTCGACCTAGAAAAAGTGCGGGTTGTTGTAAAAATTGAAAATCATATTCGGGGAAAATTGTGTTATCGTGCATTGGGAATTGATAGGCGTTCGCTCGGCTAATAGTTTCATTTGAATAATTATTATTGCTTGGTTTCTATACGACGGTCACGTTGGCGAAATATAAAAACAATATTTTATGAATTTACAAGAGGATACTATGCCCAATCTGAAAAATTCTTCGTACAAATAAGTCTTGCTGAGAGAATTAAGAAGATAAATGCCCAATATTTTAACCGCAAATTCTAGAACCCCGAACAAGGATTATTTCCTTATATAAACAAAATGGATTATCATCTCAAATTAGTTAGTTAAAGTTACAAACCGCATGAGTTTTTCTGTATTGCCCATTTGAAACATTAAAATAACTTTTTATTTCGCGGAATATGCATAGTCTGTAAACATATCTCAAGGCACTTTTTTGAGAGCGCTTCAGTGGCGACTAATATTTTTTAATTTCCAGAGATGAATCTGATAATCGTATTTTATCTATCTATTTTCAGACATAATATTTCGAAAACGATTGGTCCGAGAAGTTTCGATCGAGTAACTACACATTTTTGATTTTGGATCGTCGGTATATAAGGTAGCAAGATCGTTAAAGTTAATGGAAAGCAAACAAAGTTTAACATGGGCCGTTTTCAAAGGAAATTTAAAAAACAACATAGAAATATGCGTGTAATAAAACAAAACACAGACAAATCAAGGTTTAGGTAAATTGCGCATTTATCAGGTTTAACCTTTTAATAAAATATTAACAAAAATTTAAACTAAATTTACTTTTTATAAGCGTAAGTCAGTTAATTAGCTGCTAATACGCTACGTACATTTGTGCAACATTTCCTTACATTTTCTCTTAAATAAATTGATGAACTCTGAATATGGAGATCCCTCAGTTGATAAAAACTATTAATTCCAGCTATACGAAATGCTTTCCCAATTCAACTTTCAAATTGAACTGCGTTAATGTATATGTTTATTAACTAGGCACAATAATTGACAAGCTGATTTTATTCCATTTGGCTTGTCTGCACTGTATATTTTAGATGAACCGCTGTAAATTGTATCACATTTTAGATTTGCCTCTCGTCCTAGTTGAAACTGCTAATAATTCGATTAACTTTCTTTTCTGTCTACTGTGTACACAAGGGAAATTGCGTCGAAAACCTCTATATATAATATAAATTCGACACAAAGGACTTTCGGCAAGAACCGGAGGTTTCTGACGAAAATAGTATTTTTCTTGGGGATGTCAATATCGAAATGTTAGAAGTGTTTTTCGTAAATTTATAAACTTTTTGTTAAATTCTAATTAGCGCACAATCTATAAAAAACGCGATGATTTAAACTGCCCCACGATTTTCATTGTCAATCGTTTCATAAACGGTTTTTGCACCACGGTGCTTATGATTTTATCCTTTACAAACAGAAAAAACTAATATGCAAAAAGCTTTTACCCCTTTTTATACTGCTCCCAGGAGGACAAAAGTTCCGTTACCCTTCTGCCGTATTGCATAGAGTTAAATGAGGCTCCACGCATGATTTTGTATTATCATTGATCTCTGGGCTTTTAAAATAGCTCTGGCACAATATTAGTTTTTGCTGCCGGCAAAAACTGCATAACGCTAGAGCTCATAATTAAATGAGTCCCATAATATATTGTAATTAGAGCGGGCTTAGTAATAATGTAGATATTTTATTCCGATTAAATGGATTTATGTCATATTTATTTTTCCGAAGTTGGAAATTGCAGCGTGGTTAGTTTATAGTAATTGTCGCGAAAAGGGTGTTTTGTAAATAGTGGTATTTCTGATAACCGTTAATTTGTTTGTCATTCAGTGGGAAAAACCTGAAAATTTGTCGTGTTTGGGAATACGTTATAGGAAAAATGGGGAATTCGTTCAGATCTAAATTACAAATAGATCTGAACAATTATTTAGGAATTCTACTTTCTAATTTATCGCTTTCATATACAAGTTGCGAAGGCTTTGCATCAAAATAAAATTGGAAACGGGGTAAAAAGCCGCTTTATTGTTTTAAGACTTTGGATAGTTGAAGCTGTTTTTGCTTTAAATTTCCATTATACGCTGTATAATTGCTGTATAATATACAGCAATAAATTGCAGATGATTTCAACGTTGAGATCAGTAACAATATTTATATAATAGCAAACTAATTTTTTGTTACATTTGCATACTTTTCATACAGTCGACGTAATGGATAAAAGTAAACAAAAAAAATCGGTATTTCAAAACAATAGCGCCAATTATGATTATTTTATTACACATTGCTAAAGTTTGTAGTATCTATAAAATTGGTTGTGTTTTCTCTCTTATATCAACGCTGTATCCGATTCTTTTATGGACTACCATAAAACAATCCTAGAAACATAAAAATAATGGGGGATATTTACGATGGAGATTATTTCCTCTTAATACACGCTATGTATTAATAGGGAAACATTTTCCGAATGTTTCTTGCCAAACCACTCTGTTACTTTTCACATCATTCCATTTAAAGCCGTCCTACTTGACCAAGTTTTTATGTTCAAACTCACCGTTTGTCCTCTTTTGATGGTTTCTCCTTCGGTATAACCTTCAATATAAGGCAATCCAGGTGGATATAAAACACTAAGTTGAACGGTAGCTCTCATGGGTATGCTAGAAACTAGAGCCTCGTGTCTAGCTTCACAGGTGTAACTAGCAAAATCATCTTCAGCAGTTGGTTTCAGTGATATTCGAGAGTGGGTATCGTAGCGAGTTACTCTTTTATCGCCGGTTTTGCCAGGAATTTCGATTGTTTGGTCTTCACGACTCGCTAGAATAAAACATTTTTGGTAATCTGGGTAGTAGATTTTACGAATAGAAACGCATTTTTTTAAATTATTGTGTTTTCTCAACTCTTTAATCTCTATCGGTTACACAATAGTCTGATTTTGTCATTTTCTCATCGGTAAAGTTTCCTTTCTGTCAGTACATATCAGCATGCTAAAATCTGAAAGAACATTTTTGGCCGAATGTTCTTACATTAAAACTACATTTTGCATTCACATATTTATAATTTGCTGAGGGTTTGGAATCGCTAATTTCAGACATTTAGTGATGACTGTATTATTAGAATGTTTTCAATAATAAAAATTTATTTTTACCGAACTGCATGAAAGCCGACGACAAAGTTTTGCCTTTCACTCCCATTATAAAGACGACATAATAACAAAGTGGATCGGTTCAAAAAGAAGATAAAAACGACGAAACTCTTATTACATCTGTCCTGAATGAATGAAACAAAGGGCCGCTTCAGCGAAATGAAAGTGTAGGCGAAAGAATAGATAACGCCATTTTCTCTATGCCTTTGCAAGACGCTTTGTAATCCAGGAAATATGACATTTAATGGTAAAGGTAAAATCGCAATGAAAAAACCCATCACGCCTTTCGGGTCCCAGCATTCAGCGCCAAACATAGTGCTAAAGTAAAACGGCTAATAATTGCGAATGTTGCAGTGTTTACCATATTTTTTGTATCGGTGCTTTGAGCGCTCTAATAAAATCCATAAAACTTGCCGTTTTGTGTTCTGAATTTTAAGTAACCTCTGTTTTGCTACGTTTGCCAACGGTTTCGAATGAATATTTTCAGCGGACTTATTGGGAGGAATCCGCTTTTCTATACCGGTTTATAGCAAACAGTTCGCACCTCTTAAAGAAATATACAATCGGTGAAACTGCTAACTAGGAAAATTAGTCAAATTTTAATTAAAGTTACACCTTGGTAGAATGTCAAGTCACCTCTAGTAAGTTTTTGAAAAAAAGCCTTTGAAAAAAATGTTACCAACTGAAGCGCCAAATTTAGCTTATTTATGTAAACTGTTTTATTTCTTTCTACTCAATTTTTAGTTGTATTATGCACTTTAAAAATAGACAAAATAGCATTGAATTCAATGAATTATTATTTTTGAGTCAATTTCGTTTCTTATTAAGATTTTTAGTTGCTGACGTATTTTAAACGGGCACTTATTTAAATATCAACACTAAAACAAAACATATTAAAATATTTCTTAAATTCTTTAACATGCTTTAAAGTCAGAGTAACAAACACATTAACCGTTTTTTGTTTAATTTATCGTTTGGCTTTCGTCTTGCGTTTTCATTAATAACAAATTAGTTTAATTAGCAAAGTACTAACATGCAAGAATATCACTAAAACAAAACTGTTTATTTAAGGAAAATGTGAACAATTTTATTTGAAGAAAGCTGAAGCAACCCTTAAAGGATTCAAGACAAATTTTTCGTTCAAATTTGATTAAAAACTCTTATTTGAGATTTGTCTCACCGTACGCGTTTTGAAAACTTCTAGTCTTTCGCTCCAGTTTTAAAATTAATACTGGAAAAATCGTGTATTTTTCAAACTACGAAATTTCGTATTATTCATAATCCTATCTATAGTCAGCAACAATTAATTTCGTTAATGGAGTTAATACAAAATCAGATTTAATTTATACATGAATAAGCAAATCGCTTCCAAAATGCCATTACATTTAACCATTACGGATCTACCCCTACATTAGTAGAGAATTGCTATTGGGACTTACGTATGTTAATTTCCACATTGCCTCTATACCAAATAATCTTAGCGGCAGGTTTTGCATTACGGACTCGGCACTCCAAATGAAACTCTTGATTTTCCTTTATTTCTATTTTCGAGTTGTGCCTGTGGTCGAGAATTTCCACCGAGGATGGAGGAGCTGAAACAAAAGAATTATTGCTTAATGTTAAAAGAAAAATGAAACTGGGAATTGTACTTGTTCTTCGAGTAGCTTAAGTCATTCTGCTCGTTTACGTAATCTGGAAACGTGCCTTCGTTTTCTCTACTACTCTCGTATTGTTTCTTTTTTAAACAACCCTTAATCATAGTAGATTTATTGGCCTGCTTTCTTAATAATGCTTTCATTCAGCAACAATGTTATTAATTGAGGGAATCGTATTGTTTTTAGCAAAATTAAATATAAATAATGTAACTATTTATGATTGAATTCGGCAATAAATTCTCATATCTGCATTTGCTTTTGGAAGTTTCAATTTTAGAGCAATAATTGCAATAAAACAATATCGGCATATGGTAGTTTTGGACGAAAATAAAATTCCGCTGAAACAAACGAAACCATTATACTCGTTTATTTTATAAAGCTTTACGGCCAGTGATTCACTTTGATCTCATCGTTTTCATATTGCATGCATTTTTGTTTCAGCGTTTTATATTTATATGATTTCGGTTAAAGTTTAGGCAATTACAGAATTCAGCGTTATCATGCAATTCCGAAACGTCGATATGGACCAATAAAACTTATACTCGATTTAGGAAAAAGTATGGTACCATTTTGCTGATTTAAAATTTGAGCTTTGTTGCCTTTGAACTTTTGATAAATGACATTTTCAAACAATCTTTATTCCATCTGTGAAATGAAATTATGTAAACAGTTGTTTCGTTGGATTTAACTGGAGCTTTCAATAAAAACCGTAACTTGTTGAGTTGAAAGAACCACCACAAACGATCCGATTAATTGTTCATTAAATATTAATTTCAAATGATCAACATCGTATTTAAAAAATGCAAACAATTCGCTAAATGATGTAGGATTGTAGATGCGTTTTACTGCTATTTACATAGGTTTTGTAGTCCATTAACCAAATTGCAATTCCAGAAAGTACTGAGATAGCTGAATTTAAATAATGTTTTTGATTTAATTTTCTTTAAACTATTTAATATAGTAATGGATGGAAAATAGGAAATCTAATGTTGCAATTCGGCCGCATCCGATTTTGATACAAACTCGCGTGTTTGTTTAGCCACTGTGCAATTTGATTCATTTTGCAACATTCTCTAATCACACACACATATAGTACCTCATATTTAGATTTATTCCTGTGGGATTGCAATTTCAGCTATTATCTACGTAAATGCTATTAAACATACCCGATTGAAAACACGATATGCTCTAATCCCTATTTCAAATTCGTTTATTTTAGCTTTTAATCATTTGATTTTTAAACCGCGTAGTAAGGTTGGTACGCAATAACACAAGTAATTGGGATTTCGCATTTTGAATATTTGCAATCTGTCTAGTTAAGCAGAACAAAAGAAATTAATTCGAAAAATTTCATATTAAGCTTTGCTGGTTTATGCAAGCCAATGTAAACAAACCGAAAAATAAAATAAACTACCTTGCTAAGATCTCTAAGAAGATGCTTGAGCACAGCTATCACATCATCACATCAACAATTAATTCTTTTTTTTTACGAGTACACATACTTCCAAAGGGTCTGAGACCGTTTATATAAGGCGCCAGCCTTCAAACGAAAAACAACAGAAAATAAAGTAGGCAGGTCTGAAGGCATTTTCCATTTGCCAACCGAAGGAGGGTTTTCTTGCCGAGTCGAGTAAGAAATAGCCTTAATTTTGTTTTGTAATTTCCCTCCTTAAATTAAATTCGGCGAATTGCTATGGGGGACGTGTCTTCCTGCTGCAGTCGACATTCCGTATTGTGCAACGGCCCTCAAATGTTGCGTGCTTTCCAGGCAACTGCAAACCCTTAATAGCGCCATGTCCACGTTTCACCCTTCGAATATATTTTACACAAATGAGAATTTTGATACACGTTTTCAGTAAAATCGGATTTTCGTTTGCTTGAATTTTCCGTTTAATTCTAGCGCTGATAAAGGCTCTCCTGGTTAAACATTTCTACTCGTATCTTTGCGTACACTATTGCAGAAATAGCACTCACGGTTTTGGAATAATTGATAAATCATGGACTATTGTGAATATCGGGTATTGTGGCAGTTTCTGAATAGGAAATATTGTAGTTTAGATTCGAAGCTTCTATTAAGTACGATTTAGTGGTAATATGATTTGCAGTCGTTGGTTCAAAAGAAATTATTAGAATGGTAAATGATAACGTTTGTTGCTGCTTTCACTTAAGTTGAAAAACATTTTCCAAATTGATTTCCGAAGCAGTTTATAAGGACAAAAACTGTAATTTTGCATTTTATTCTATGTAAATTTTATGCCAATAAATTACGATGACTGTTCCAAATATCCAAATGGCTTATTATGTATAATGCCGAGATGGTAATGTTCAAACTTCTCTCTTACAAAGTTTCCATAAAGTTGAGATGAATTTCCGATCGAGCTCGTCTTCTGAATAGCACTCGAAAAGGCACAAAACCGGTTATAATCGAACAAAGCTCCTAACCGTGCCGAAAATATATTTTTTTGATATTGTTTTATGATAAGAATATTTTATTTACAAAAGAACATTCTTTTTTACATAACAATTAGGGCTGGTGTTTCTGTTTTCATTAGGACTTATTAGGTTGGTTAATATCTTTTTTCTTACTTAGAAATGTGCTTCGTTTTCCTTAAGAAACTTTGAAAAATATTTTGTAGTTTTGGGATTATATGACATTAAATGACTTTATTTCAGCGATGGCAGATTTGTTACTCGATTTTATATAATGTAAATTACATTTTAAAAACAACAAGCTGTGAAATCGCTTCAGCCATATTTTATTGATTTCAGGTCCTAGTGACATACAATCCGTTGCTGGTTGGATTAAACCTTTATTGTTTCTAAATGCTGAGGAAGTTTAGGTCAGCAATCTTACTCATTGTAAATATTAAGTATCCGGCACATATAGTCATGGATCTAATATTTTCGCGTGCGTATCAATTTATTTATCTGAGATTTCATAGTTTGGTTTTTCGTTCATCTTCACTATACTTATACTATCTCACTTTCATCATGTTTCTTTTTCAGGCATTTTCTTATATTAATTTGCTAGTGACAAAAATAATTATATTTTCCCATGACCTGTACGAACAAACCCAAATTATTAATCGCCTGATATTTCTGAGATTTTAGGTGCAAATCGATCGAGTCGGTTTCACCCTGGCATCATCTTGAAAGAAATGCTCTTAAGTTGGCAAACATACGAACTGAGAAGCGCTTCCACGAATAATATTGGTTTAGTAAGTGCCAAGCATTGAGACCCCGATGCACACTTTATAGTCCGACAAAACGGTCGCCATTTCGAGATCTGAATAAAGTTCGTTATTAGTCGGGTTCATTTTACATTTAGAAGGAATATGGAACGATTTCTCCGATATTCGCCCTTCGTTGCGGCTAAATTCTTGTTTTGCATTTTCGGGGGTTGAATTTATGATTATGGCTTGTTTAGGAATACGTAAAGACGGAAAATGCGATAAGCGCTCCTTGCGAGTAACGTGTATGGAAGAAACAAACTGGTAAAAAAAAATTGACCTAAGATGTGAGGGAGGAGGGAGTGGATCGATAAATTTAACATTTATTTGAAAAAAAAATCATCTAACAACTAGCTGTTTGATAATTTGTTATCCATTTATCGACTGCTTTCAGCATTCGATTTCTATATCAATTCAGATGTGGGATGCTTAAATATATTATGCCCGTTAGGATTGTTTCAACACCAAAGCATAAAATTATTGGAATCTTCACTTAACATTCCAATATGCTCGACATTCCTGGGCATTCTCAGAATGGGTGAAACATCGGGTGATAGGGGTATAATTCGTTCCAATACGGCCAATTGACAATAAATTATTGATGTAAATGACCATTTTTATAAGCACATAAACCACATTTTAGAAGCTCAAATGTTCTGCTTGACTTGTTTGTTTGCTATTGTCACTTAACACTTTTTTACTTCCACCACACATACTTGGCACTGCCAAGACCAGATAAATCTTGTACAGATATAGATTTTAGACAGGTATATTTCCTGTAGCAAAATGAATGTTTTCTTAAAGCAACTTCAAGATTTTGCAATTCATGATGCTGATTTGACTTTGTAAAATGCCCGACTTTTCCGGTATCAGTTTTGATTCATGAAATATTACCTGGTTTTTGTGTTGCAGTTCAGCTCAAGTTGATCAACCATTCAGTTCAAAGTAAAACCATCAACTTTTTGCTTACTGAAGGGTTAATCTAAATTTTCGTTTAGATTTCGATTACCATGCGACAGAAAAATGTAAATAAAAAACTTATTTTAGGCCAAGTCACTAAAACTACAGCATTATTTTTATGGGTTTTCATTGTCTATTTACCATTTTATGAATATAAGAGAATTTCAATAAACAAACAAAACTCATTAAAAGCCCGACATAGACGCAATATATTTAGTATCTTTACATAACTGTGAATTCCGCACTGGAAAACCTGACCGGAATATTCTATGGTTGATCCTCTAAACACGAACAAAAGCATTAAGGGAGATTTAGAGGCTACTTTTTGCATTTTTCCTTTTGCCAGAGCTCTTATGTCGGTTATGTAAATTAGACCCAAACGTAGAAATGTTACGTCAAAATGTATACATTTAGATGCAGGATGCCGGAAACAGAACACGATCAATTTTTGTGTAAATATTTAGGTTTTCGGCATTTTTTTGAGAAAATATAAATTGCATTTTTCCTATCCAACATATTGCACAGACCATAAAAGTTCTTTATAATTAAGGTGCTAGGTCAATTAGAGACGTGCATATAAATGTGATTTATACCTATTATCTGGGATTATAGCTAACATATCAGATGCATGCATTAATAAATCGCTTTAATTTTGCCCAAGCAAAATTCCCGAGAGATATTTCTATATTTCTGAAGAGTTGACATATTGGGCTGACAGAGACAACGATTTTAGTAAGAATTTAATGGAGCAAAACTACTGACTCAGACATTTGAAAAGCTTTAGCGAATACGATACTCTTAATTCAATATTGAAGATAGACGTTTTCATTTATACGTAATTTTCCTTCATCATTTTTATGTAGAAAGTAGCGACGTTTTAACACAACTCAATTTCAAAACGGTTTCACGACGTAAAATTTATTAAATGATTAAAATGTTTTTTAGCAGTGAAATATAAATAGTGTAACATGTTGCATCTAACAGAAGTCGATAATTATTGGACATTTTTAAGATGCAGTCAAGTTATTGAAAAAGTAACGTATAAGGTTATAAGAGTAAAAGCTTTATTAGCACTTAGATAAAAATAACCAATTTGATGGGCATAGTGAATCCAAAAAAATAGCTGAACAATTGAAAATTGCCAACTATTATTAAATATACTTTTTGAGGAACAAAGAGAAACGATTAATTAATTGTATTGGAAGAAAAATTTTATGATGATAGTGACATTTATCAATAAAACTCGAACCTAAATCTATTTAAATATTTAAGGTTAAAGTTTTGAATTGGTTTTTTCCAAATTTTTAAGTAAAAAACAACAAGCGACATAATTCCAAAAGTAAAATATTATCTGGAAGACATAATTATATTGGATTATAATAAGATTTAAATTAATCAGACTTTCCTTAAAAACCCATTATCCGGATATTATTATTAGAAATAATAATTATTTTCCCCTTTTATTTGATTTGAATTCCCCAACTTCAATCGGAAATATTCGAATTGTGAATCGTTCGAAGTAGCCGACAGATAGATACCGAAAAGAAATTGCAACAAATTTGTCAGAGTTAGTTAAAACTTAAAATTTCAGCAAGGTGCCAAAGTTATCTAAGATTTGGGTACTGAATAATAAATCAGGCTGTAGAAGAGGACGGATGTTTGAAAGTTTTATAATTCCGGAAACGGAGTAACATCTATAATTTATAAGACGCACTCGGGCTAAATGAAACTTTCGGGTACGAGAAAAATTTCTGGAAGTTTGCAACTTTAAAAGGGTTCGGATAAAATTTTAATTCGATGGGGACAGGAATATTATTTTCGCTTGATGACCGTTCGAAAAAAAACGGAAACAATTTGTTTAAGAAATTAATTTCGGCCGACGTCAAAGTGGTTGTAAAATACTCTTGAAATTAAAACATTTAACTCGTACTTTTAAAAGAGAGATAGAAATGTCAAAGAAACCTATAAGATGTAGTTCAGATCGTTAATGATATTAGAATTATAGTCATGAAATTCTAATAAACTTAAAATTTAACAACAGTAATTTCCGAAAGTCTATAGCTATAAGTAAAACGAAGCAAAGATCTAACAGTAGAGAAAGATATTTAGCATCAAACTTTACCGAGTTCCAAGCAAGACATTATAATGGAGTTCCAACGTTCCAAGTCGGTTTCTGCGTTGCATACAGCCTGGTATTAGTTGCACAAATTGACTTTAATTTTATCGAAACTTTATGTCTTTGTATGAATCTGTTTCTGCTGCCGCCATAAATTAAATACGTTGCTCTCAGTAATTATAAGGAAAAGCTTTCTTCCCAGTAATTTCCAAATTTTAATTAGCCAAAGAAGGAATTTCCAACTTTAATTGGCTGCTAACATGCATATACATAGTTAGTTTTCTTCAAGAACCAAAACTTTTACCATATGTCTATAATCTCAAAGAGAATCTGGAATAATAGTTGATTCAACGAAAAGCGAAGTAATAAATTTTGTGTGACAAATTCGGAAATGTTCGTGCAGTCGTTGCATTTTGTTTTGGATCTCCAAATAAAGCACAAAATATAACCGCTAAGATAAACATCAGCTATTCAGCGAGAATCTTCCATCAGAGGAAAAAAACCACGAAACATAGATCTATCACTTTTTACAAAACTTCAGAATAAATCGTTTAAAAATGCTATAAATCCATCAGACCTAATAGAAAAAGATATACGTCTGCGTCTCCGCCTGTAAATTGTTTGTTCTGTATATTTTTGTTGGCACTTCTCGAAACGAGATGTCTTCCAGAGATATTAAACTTTCTACTCTTGTTCTCCTAGCTTTTCAAAGTTTCGCATTTCAGATTAAATCTAATAAAATAGTGCCGTAAAATTATTTGAAAATACGCGTTGTTGACTGGCGCGCCGGATAGTGAGATTTGATAAAACATAAAATATGTCTTAAATTGTTTGTCGCGGATTTCCGCTCGTACTGTTGAACAGATTTGCTTCAAATTGACTAACCCAGATATAGAGAAGTATATTTGAGAAAAATATAACATCTGGACTATTTAAGAGAAGTCAGTTGAATTTTGAATTGAAGCAGAATAATTCATCAGGACAAACTGTTTTATTTTGTCTGCTAAAACGTCAATAATACTTCATATCTGTTTTCCTTTTTTTTTAAATAAAATGTTTCATTAAACATTTTTAAAAATTATTCGACAATGGTTACAGACAGCTACGGCGAAAATAAAAAGTATCTAATTTGAACGTGAAATCCAAATGTTTACAAAAAAGCGGGTATTGGCATACCATGACAATGCGGCAAAGGGTATACAAAATGAACATTTTCACTTTCTGTTTCTCAAAAACGAAGCACGTTTCGGCCTAGCTTTAGAAGAGAAAATTAATTGAAAAACGTGTTTTCACTTCTACTAGTACAAACTGACTCAATCTGCATATATTGTATCATATTTTGATAAAACTGAACCCAAAAATATTATCATAATTATTAATTCGCAACTAGGCAGTACAGTTACTTATTACAATTCGTGTATTTATATGAGTACGTTTGAGTAAAGCTTCGGCATATTTACTGAATTTGGTTCAATTTGAATATTGTAATTATTTATATAAATTTATAATATTTTGCAAATTACTTAATTGAAAA